GGGGTCACCATCTGCTACAGAGGGAAGTTACCCCACCCTGTAGTCTAAACTCCCTCGAGGGATCTTTTAAACAGGTGAGCATGCTCTTGAGGTGACAAGAGGCTAGAGGGACCGTGCTGCTCTCCCTGCCTAGCCTGAGAGTCCTCAGAGGAGCTGAAATGACCTTTCTTTTTGGTTACATTGTATCAGAAAAGTCATTAACATTGTGGTTTTGATCCTTAGGTTCAGCCGTGGTGGAGACTTTCATGGTCCAGACCTCCCTCCGGGATACAGTGTAACTTCCTGATTCTAAAAATAAAAGACAGGTTCTGGGCAGTCGGTGCCTAAACTGAAAGACCTAGAACTGGTTGTCAGATCAGCACTAACCCACTGTGCTGGCTAATTTTATGTCGATACAGAGTCCTTTTCAAAGAGGGAACCTCAGTTGAGAAAATGCCTCCACCAGACTGGCCTGTGTTGCATTTTCTTAATTGATGATTAATTTTCTTAATTGATGTTCGAGGGTCCAGTTCACTGTGGGCACTGCCACCCATGATGGTCCTGGGTACTATAAAAAGACAGGCTGAGCAAGTCACGAGGAGGAAGCCAGTTCCTAACCCGACTTTGATAGACTGTGATACAGCAATATGAGATGAAATCCCCCCCCCCCACACACACACACAAGTTGCTTTTGAGCACAGTGTTTTATCTCAGCAACAGGAACCTCAACCACGTCACCTACTAACCGGGAACAGGATGACTCATAAAATCACCTATTCCTAATGAGGAGCTGACAGAGGTCTCAATCAGTGAGCCGCTCGAGAATTTTGGGGGTTCTCCTAGATCTCTTCCCCTACGCTTGGGTTCTTTCTAGGAATATAACTCTCTCAAACTCCAGCAGTGGCCAGACAGCCACCTCCATACTCCTGTATCTTTCCCATCAGTCTCCCCTGGGCCAAAGTCCGACGTCTTTTTCCGAAGTCAGTGGAGAAGCTATAGGCTCCTCCATTCCCGGGGACTGCAGCACTACGCCTTCCCTTCCAGACCTGCTGAGAAGCCCATCTCCAAGCCTTTCCAGGCTCCTCTCTTCCCCAGCTTTCCCTCCCTTCTCTGTGGCTGCCTGCCAGTTCAGCTCATTTGTCATTGTCTAGTGACAAGAACCAAGGGATGATTCACTGGCCATGACAGGTGGAACCTGGGGGAGGGCCTGAGGGAAGAAATGGCAGTCACCCCTGGGACCCTGAAGGCCAGCTCCCACTCCTTCCTCGAACCAGTTGTGGGAGGTGGAGAGGATTGTAAGGGGCCTGCCTCTCATATCATGCCCACTTCTGCTTCCAGCAGAGGCGCTGTATATCGGCTTCCTCACTTGTGATTTCTGGACCCTATTTGTGTTAGAATACAAGTGCCTCATAAGATCTTAAGTTTTCTACACAGACTCCAGGACCCAGGATAGGCAGGCATCAAGAGAAAGGCAAGTCCAGGAGGGGCACAGGGGTCCTGTGCTTAGACTCCTCCATGCCATGCTAACTGCACCCTTCCTCCACATCCCAGGTAAGAAAACCCTTCATTGTCCCATACCAGGGTCTCTGTCAGTCAAGAGAACAACAGACCCTGGAAGCCAAGAAGCCAGAGACAGCAGCGGAGCTGTAGGAGCTGAGGCCCTGATCTATGCGCCTCCTCCTGGAAGACCTCCCAGTCTCAGAGCCTAGAGAGACTAAGGCCACCTCTGCAGAGCCTGTATTATGTCAGATCAGGGGCTCAGGAGACCCAAGTCCACTTTCTTCTCTCAAGATTTCTGTTGCCTCATGGTTACATCGAACACAGACTGGGTCAGGCACATTTATTCCAGGAGTGGAATCCTTTTACAAATACAATCTGAAGTAAGCCCTCAATGTAGCAAACCTGGGAAAATGAACTGGCTGTGCTTGCCAGAGCGTGGAGGTGTTGGTGCCTGCCAGGTCTCCCCTGAGGCTTCGAAACTTCCAGCTCTCACGGGCTGTAAGGGATATCATTACTCACTCTCCCAGGACTCTATACAGTTGGGTGTCTGAGCCCGGGGAGTAGCCTTCCACCATCTCAGCCTCTCCTGCAATGTCCCTTTTCCCTCACAGATGAACTCTATTCCTCTAACATTGATCTATCAACAAGGTCTGCCACCCTAACTTCTCTTGTCTCAAGTGTCCATCCTGGCTACGGCTGGCTACCAGGCTACCACAGCCCCCCTTCCGCTCAGGCTGCTGTCTGTCCACCTACGGTCTGTCACCCTCTATGAAAACCTCTGCGGGGCCCTAAGCACTCACCAAAGACCTCCCAACCCCTGCAAGCCCTCGCTTTCTGTAGCACTGGCTCCTGCTAACCACACGGCCCCACTCCTTAGAATGTTCTAGATTTTCTTACCCTCTCCTGAATGTCCTCTCCTCCCAGTGACCTCTTCTGAGCACATACCTAGAATGCTCGGAGGGTTCCTCATGCCTCTTGCCCAATTTATGTCCCCTGAGAACCCCAGCCAGTGGGCAGAGAATGCTTTAGGAGTTATCAACAGTCTTGAATGGATGGTCGAGCCTAGCATGGTAGGTGGAAAGACATGGCTGCACCCAGTGTAGCTGGTGACCCATGTGCATCTCCTCTGTTCCCAGCCAGCTGTTTAAACAAGAAGCAGAATTTGCATTCTAGGACTCAGAACTCAAGGGACACTCTCCTGGCTGCTTGGAGGTAGCAGTCCTCAGCTATCTGAATGTCTCTCACCCTAGAAAGAAGGGGCCTCTGGACCTGTAGGGTGCAAGGATAGACTCAAAAAGCTTTCAGAACCTGTCCTGGTGGCAGCTGGGCCTAGGGGTGACTTGGAGAAAAGGTCCCTGAGTATTTGGATGTAAGGCTCAGGTGCGGGGTGTTGTAAAATCCTTGAAAGGGACCGGTCCCTGAGCAGGCACCAAGGCCAGAAGAAACAGACCCATCAGTTAGAGGCTCACTTCAGCTTCTGTATGCAGAGGGTGCCCACTGACAGTAAGCACGAGGATCCGAGGTAATTCTCCAGAACTCATGCAAAAGCTGGGCAGTGGGGTAGACAGGGCAGAGACAGGTGGAGCCCTGCAGCTTAATGGTCAGGCAGTCTAGCTGAATCAGTGAGGTCCAGGCTCAGTGAGAGGTATGTCTCAAAAAAAAAAAAAACCCAAAACACACACACACACAAATGGAGGCCAAGGGTGGCTGGAAGACATACACAACAGATACACACACACACCCCACAATTCATCCAATCCAATCCCAGTGAGGGAGGGGCTATAGGACTCTGGAGTCTCATATGAGGCAGATCACCCAGTTGGCAAAAGGAAGGGTCCCACCCAACAGATGACAGTGATGCTAATCCTAGCTGCTGAGGATGTCCCCTCCCAGCCAATCTGTGAAGTGCTTTCTACTAATTTAACCCTCAAAAAACAACCTGTGAAGAGTAGGGACTACTGATTATCCTTGTAAGTAAACTGAGGCACAGTGAAATCACTGGCACACATGTGAACAAAGAAAAGCAGGAGGAAACGGGCCAGGCCAGGCCAGGCCATCCTTAGGGAAAATGGGACCAGAACCTGATTCCTCACCCTCCTTTTCTAGCTGGCTTTACCTTCCCATCCAGGGTATAGCAGATACTTGCTCCCAGGAGACCCCTTCTGCATCGGAATTCCCAGTTTCCCAGCAGATGACATTTGTCTCCACAGAGAGCACGTCCAAGGGAAGCATCAACACAGAATTTCCGGGCTGTGGCTGTAGCTGGGATTGGGGGGGGAGGGTAGGAGGAAGGAGGCAGCCAAATCTTCACGACTTAAGCCTCCTCCACTCCCCACAGGACACTCCCAGTCCCTCCTATCCGAATGGGGGCCAATTACATCCTACTGTCCCCAAACCCCAGAGGGCACAAAATGTATACACATTTAGCATTCTGGTTCTAAAGAGTGGAGGCTCAAAGAGATGAGGTCACAAGAATTAAAACAGGCAGCCACGGGAATTCACCCAGGATCAGGCCCGGGACTTTTAAACGGAAATACAAAGTATGGTATTCCAGATTTGCCCATCATCCACCGCACCTCAGAAAGTTCTGGCTTTTGCAGAAATCGCTTACTACTCAGTGCTGCTTCAAACCTGACCCTTCCGGAGCTACTCTCAGGACTGGGCGGGCTGACAGGACATTCCCAGCCGTGTGCAGCTCTGGGCAGTGTCCCAGGTCTTGAGGTGTGTGTGTGTGTGTGGGGGGGATTGTAGGGAAGAGCACAAAAGTAGGAATCCCTTCCGAATGGTTGTCCCCAAGCCATTTGGTTTCACACACTTCATACTGTATCTGCGTCTCGGGATCCCACCAATCATTTACACCCGAGCACCCTAGACCATCCTCACACACCAGGCTCTGCAAAGGTCAGTCCAAGGGTCACTGTCCCCAGCCGATCCAGCAGGGTAGCAGATAGGATCCTGGCGGCGCCTCAATCCAGGCAGAGAGCTGGATGGGCCTGTCTAAAGTTGTAGGTGCTTCTTATCTACTACCCTACTCCCCACCCCGCCACCACCCCTGGCCCCAGGACCTGAGGGAGCAAGCTGGGGTTCAGGCAGAGCAGCGGTGCATCGTGGTGCATGGGGCTGGCTGGACTAGGGCAGCGAGTGCTTGCATCCAAAGTTCAGCCCAGGCTGGAGCCATGTCTACACAGACACCCCGGGCTCAAACATTACTCTTACCAAACCCGCCCAGCCTCACAGCGTGCGCTCCTTTTCCAGTTAACTAAGTCCGGGTTTGAAAGTTTGGCCAAGTGCGGCAGTCAGCAAGGCCGCCCCCTTTCCTTGCAGAACCCAGGTCCGGCCTTGGTCCTTGTTAGGGGATCGCGCACGCGGTGGGTGCGGGGATGTCCATTTCAGCATGACATCCACGAAGTCCGGTAGCCCAGAGCCCTATCCGGAGCACCCAGGACTCTCGGAGATCAAGCTGAGCAAAAGGGACAGGACGCGGGCCACCTGGGGAGCGTTGGGCACGGGTTGCCACTTACCCGGCAGGGTGGGCGCTCGCGGGCGCCTCGGCGCGTCGCATCGTGGGGCCGGCGATGGGGGACGCGGCGACCTCCGCGTGGCGCTGCCGCTGTCCCTCGCCGAGGGCCGGGCCGGGCGCCGCCGCCAGCCGCGCGCCCAGTGGGGAAGCGCGGGGCCGCTGCCTTCCACTTCCTGGATCGCAGCGCGCGGGGCTCGCAGGAAGAGGCCGGCCCTGGTGGTCAAGGGTTTTTTGTCAAAAGCCATTCGGCTGCGGCTGCTCGCAACAGGGAGCCCCCTGGGGCGCGCGGAAGCCGGGCCGCGCCCCTGGGGCCGGGCCTGGCGGCGGGCGGTGCTGGGATCGAGGACGGCACGACTGTGGCCGCCAGGAGCCTGCGAGGGAAACTCACAGGAAAGTCTCCAAGTTGGCACCGGGCAGCGTGCCACTCAAAGCCGGCAGGTGACAAAGCCCAGAGCCCGAATGGGACCTCCTCCACCCCAGGGGGAGCCACGACCCACTCCCACCCCAGCTCCCAAGGCGGGACACCTCCTCCACGTCCCCGACAGGTGGCCGTGCTGTCTCTCCTTGATGCCCCCTCTGTTGATAAGCTATTTAACAAGGCAGATAACGTCCATCAAGCCTGACATCTAAGGCACCTGTGCTAGGTACCGCACCCACACAGAGGCTAAAGAGAAAACTTGTCGGTTTATACAACAACCGCGAGGCGTGAGGCCTCTTCTTTAAGCACTAGACACTCAAAAATGTCTCCCGAGCCAGCTAAGCCCGTGAGACCTGCTAATAGCAGACCTCAAGATACCACCTTATCTAATTCATTCTCAGCCCGGGCGTTATTTAGACAACTGGGGACAGATGAAATGTTCTGTGCTTGGGACTGTCTGTCTTGTGCCTTATAAGAGTAACCCAACTTTCATCCACATCCTTGGCCTCCTACCCACTATTCCACACTGGTGCTAGAGTGTCCTCACGCCTCTCACAATCACTTCTCTCTTGGCATCTTCTCCTCCCAATCAGCCTGTGGAAATGAGAAGAGGAGCATAGTTAACAGTCTCCGGGTGGGACCGATAAATGGGGCAGCAGCTTTGGGAAGTAGCCTTGGCAGTTCCTCAGAAGGGGGAATTACACACCCAAAGCGGGTTATTTCAGCTTTCAGTTCCAGGTTACAGTTCATCACTGTGGGGAAGTCAAGGCAGGATATCGAACAGTCAAGAGCAAAAAGAAATGAATGTAGCCATGTTTGCCTGGTTTGTGATCAGCACACTTTCTCTACTCTTACATAGTTCGGGACACCCTGTACAGGGAATGGTGCTGCCCACAGTGGGTTGAGTCTTCCCACATCAATAATTAAGACAGTCCCTTACCAGCATACTCACAGGCCGAACTAATGCAGACAATCCCTTACTGAGAATTTCTTCTCAGTGATTCTAGGTTGTGTCAAGTTGACAAATGAAAGCTATCTATCATAGCGTGTACATGCAAAGGTATCGTGTACCTTGTATCTGACTGCCCATATCAGCCTTAGTCGTGTTATCCAGAGCTGGAGCTAGAACTCAGAGGTAGAATCCTTGCCTGGCATGTGTACGAGAGACCCTACATTCAAGAAAAAAAGAAAGAAAGGAAAGGAAAAAAAAGAAATACAAACTATTTTATAGTAGCCAGTGTGTGGAAGCAATCATATAGGATGTTGGGATCCGACTCCTAGCGGAAATCGGCTGTTATCTTTGCAGCCATCTCGAGCCATATACCCTGACAAGAGACTTATTTTTCAACAGCCCACAACAGCTGAGCACACGCTGATAAACATCTTGTTTTTCTCACATATCTTGTTTTCTTGTTTACTGCCCCCAGCTGCAAGGCACACGTGGTAAAGTGTCTTCAGCTGCATTTTCCTGCTTGTGCTTATATATACCCATGATTTCCTTTCAATAAGGGGGGGGGACTTGAACAGACTCTCTGTTTTGTCTCCATTCTTTGTGTCTGTTGCCCCTCCATCCCCACTCTCTCTCTTGCTAGACTCTGTTGACTGACCCTAGGACTGGAGCACTTGGCCCCCAAACGTGGGGCAGCACGGACGGGAACAATAGGATATGATAAGGGATACTCGATCAGGGAATATTATTGAACCACAGAATGAATGGAACCCCAATAACCTGGTGCTTCTGTACAGATGAATCTTGAAAACATGCTAAATGACAGAAGCCCTAAACGCACATTCCATTTGCATGAAGTGTTCAGAGTAGGCAATTTCACAGAGACAGAAAGTAAACTGGTGTTCGCTAGAAGTGTGTGTGTGTGTGTGTGAGGGGGTGGGGAGTGAGGAGTAACTAGCAATGGCTGTGGGGTTTCTTTGGGGGTGATGAAAATGTTTTTAAATTGACTGTGGTAGTCATTGCACAACTTTGTGGCTATACTGAAAACCATCAAATTATACACTTTAAGTTGGTGAATTGCATCCCAATCAAACTAGTTTTTCGTTTTGGAAGGCACAAAAAATGTGGTCACCAGGGAGCAACCTTAGCCACTCTGACTTATACAGCTCCCCCACCATGCACTCAGATTGTTGCCAGCCACCCTCTCAGGGCACCACCAGGCCCTACAGGCGTTTCTTCTCCAAGGCTAGCTCTTCCCTCAGCCACAGGGAGCCTTTCTACCATCTCCATCAACAGTCCTGTAGTTTCCTGCTTGAAACCTGGGCACAGAAGGCAGCCACATGTTCAAATCCAGCCCCGGAACTCTGGGCAGCAGCTGGTACAGCTTTCTCAGAGACTTCATTGCTCATCTGTAATAGAGTCAACACAGATGAGGGAAGGAAGAGAACACTCCTGCAGGGAGGAATCTTTGGCTGTGGTTCCTCCAATAAGCCCGAGAGCCACTCCTAGGTGTCCTTGGATCTAGGTCAGTGGACCATCCTGCTACTCGCATCTAGCCAGCTCTTCAGGCTGACACGAGTAACCCTACACTCTCAGACCCCATAGGTTTCCTTCCAGGGCACGGCTCTGACACTAGACAAACCCCTAATATCTTGAGTTCCACAGAACAGTCCCAGGCCTTTCTCTTGTCCCAACAGAGGCCTCCTGAAGGCTAGCAATCCACTTGCTCTGTAAAGCCACAATTCCTTAGGTATGCACCATGGAGATACTCTTGATGATCACTGACTCAGGGTGGGGCAGCCAAGATTCCAGAAGGCTGAGTGGACACTGTTAGTGATGAGTACAGTCCGCTTGTCTGGACCCTCTTCCGTTTCCACTCCCAACAACCCCTCCCCCCACTCTCTCTTGTCTTGCATCTCAGCACACTGAAGAGCCTTGTGAGAACCTGCCATGGTTCACACCTGTAAGCTTGATCTGCATCTCTGGGTCCTCCTAGAGTAGTGCTCACCTCCCTGGATTCTTCAGCTTTCTCCTCCCTCTATACAAGGTTTCGAATAGCTGAGTCCCCAGCAGGAAAATGGGGGCTTTTGAAGCCGAACTCTAAGTGTCCTGGAGTTTAGGGGGATATTTAATAGAGACAAAGTTTTCATAGCCCAGTTTTGCTTTTCAACACCCTCCCAAACCTTGCTCTGATGGGTTTGGAATAAGATCTTTTAGCAAGCAGTGTATTTTGCTATGCTATGGTAGATAAGAAGAACAAGGACTTCAGGGTTCAAAGCCAGGCTTTGCTACTTTGTGGCTGTGTAACCTTGGACTCGTTACTTTGACTCTCTGTGTCTTACTCTCCTCACCTGCAAGGTGTGTTAACAATCCTGCCTCCCTCATAGGATGTCATGGCGACTAGTAGAAGCTGGGATGCAGCCCATTTGAAGTGGCTATTTGAGCCAGCTGCTGGTCTGAACACCTTTGATCCCAGCACTCGGGAGGCAGAGGCAGAAATAGGGTTTAAGTCTAGCTTGGGCTACAGAGCAAGTTCCAGGACAGCCAGGGCTACACACAGAGAAACCCAGTTTTGAAAAAAACAAAAACTTTCTTTTTAAAAAGGCTACTTGTACTGTAACTAGGTCCTCGAGTTGTCAGTTCTGTCACCGAGGGAACAAATGGCTCTTCTGATTCGACAAAAATGAAAAGGATTTAGGAAATGCACAGGAGCTAAGTGCAGCAGCATACACTTACGATCCCAGCACTCCAGAGGCTGCAGCAGGAAGATAGCAAGTTCAGGCCAGCCTGGGCTATGTGGGGAGACCTTATATCAAAGAAAAGAGAGAAAAGAACAGCAAGGGTGCCACCTCTCCAGACCCATTACCATCCTAAGCCCCAAAGAAGAGGAATGGGTGTTACCAGACCCAGAAACAGACAATCACGCCCTGCAGAGACCACCAGCAGAGGCTCCTGGTGGGCCTAGGGGAACCAACCAGGAAGGAAGCCGCTTCCTTCCTGGCTGGCCTGTTATGACTGTGGTGGCTGAATTGCCAATCTAGCTGGAAGCTGGAGGACTGGGCTAGGCAGTCCACAGGTCAGGGCTGTGGGTCCTTTGGTGTGTGTTGGGGGAGGTCAATCCACCATCTCTCCTGTGCCTGCACCACTATGGCCCAACTCTCCCGCTTTGCCTAGGCAAGGCCAGCTCTTCTTCCTGTGGTAACCAGGAAGGGGCAGGGCCGGCTCTCCTGGGCTTACATCATCAGGGCCAGCTGTGAGCCTTAAGAGTAACGAACACACTGGATATGCCAGTACAGCTGCTGTCAGATAGCTGCCACTCAGGTGCATCTGTTGACGTAGTAAGGGACAGGAATGTCACCAGATGAGCCCTGACTAAACACCTGACTGCAGAAACCATGGAACAAGAGATCAGCAGAAAGCAGCTTTGTGGGTTTCCCTCTTCTCCCCACACCTCCATTTCCCCAGGCTTCGGAGTATGGATTGAAGCGGAAACTTCTGGTTTCTTGGAGACTGTGTGCTTTTCTGGAAGCTGTCTCATGAGAGGATGTTTTGCTGAAGCAGACACGAGAGAGGACCATGGTGTTTGGAAAGAATATGAGTAGAGCGCAAATGATGCTCTTGTATTGGTTCGCCTTGCAACTCTTCGCTGATTATTGCTTAGTTGTGACTTTGTGGAGGGAAACGCACCACAGAACTTCTAGTGGT